GAGAAGGAGGAGGAGGAGGAGGAGGAGGAAAACGAGGAGGAGCAGGAAGAGGAGGAGAGGGAGGAGGAGGAGGAGGAGGAGGAGGAGGAGGAGGAGGAGGAGGAGGAGGAGGAGGAGGAGGAGGAGATGGAGATGGAGATGGAGATGGAGGAGGAGGAGGAGGAGGAGGAGGAGGAGGAGGAGGAGGAGGAGGAGGGGGAGGAGCAATCCGAGCGAGGCCGTGGACATGGATGTGCGCGCGGCTACGGAGTCTGGGCGTCGGACCTGTTCGCAGAAGCGCGGGCGGGGAACGCGAGGCTTGGGGCCCCTCCGCGGCCCACAACCTGGCCGAGAGCGGCGCGCTCCCCCCCGAGGCGCCCCGGCCGCCAACCGCCCAGACGTGTCCCGCACTCGGTGCGCAGCCAGATGGCAGCTCCGTGCCGATCATGCTTCCCAGACCTCCTCGCGTTGTGAACAAAATCGCGACAGGGGGAAGGTCTTCGCCATTTTCGGCCTCCAGGGTCTCTTCCCGGGCCTCGGGACTGGCAAAAAACGACTCGGGACGAGAAAGCGGTCCCGGGGAAGGGGTCGAGACCTCTGGGGGTCGACGTTGTGAACAAAATCACGACGTCGGGGGTCTGGGGCTGCTCTCCCGTGGCAGGACCATGCCGATCCGTTTTTTTTTTGGGGCCCGGCACGAACCGCCCGAGCGGGCCGCGCGCCAAGCGCGCGGCCCACCTCCGAGGAAGGTGCCGATGAGTGCCTGCACGAATTCACACGCGGTCGGCCCGTGCAGCCCCAGGCCGGAGCCCGAGAAAAACCGCGGCTCACAAAGCCTGGAGCCGCCACAGCTGCATGGCGCTCTCTGGTAGCCAAGACCATGCCAATCCCACGGTCAGGGCCAAGGCAGCCTCGTGGCGTGTGGCCGGAGGAGCACCAGAGTCAAGCTCAGACGGCGATGTCTCAGCAAACCCTCCCTTCAAATTCCCTCTTCACACGTCCCTACAATAATCCCTCCAGCCCTTTGGGCTAATGTGATCTAGTGAGTTCTGCCCTTCCTCTTCCAATTTTCTGAGGTGGCACCCAAAGCGGCTCGAGATAACCGAAGATGGTTCAAGATAGCAGCCGACATGCTCCAAAAGGCCCGACGAAGGCCACAAGAAGGATCCGTGCTCTCGGAGCCCCCTCAGGACCACATGCCCGCATCCTTTGGAGGTCACAACAGATCAATGACTTGTGCCTTCTCGCCTTTTCGCTTCCACTGCACCTAGGAGGGCCCCACATCGCCCCCAGAGCGCCCCAAGAAGGCCCCAATGGGCGATTTCGAGTGACCCAGAGGGGGGACCAACCGTTACGACCCCACTCATGTCACTGTCGCCCTCCACGATAGCCCTAAGAGGCCCTCCAGGGCTCTCA